TCGAAAGACACCGCGTTCTACCGTCGTGGGATTTCCCTGTTGCCAGAAAAATGGGAAAAAGTAGTAGAAAATGGAGGAAATTACTTTGATTAAGGTATTCATTCATCTTCCCTTCGAAACAAATCAATTTTGGAGACGAAAAAACGGCATTAAGTTCGACACCTAATACTATATTTCGACAATAAACGATTTTTATTTTCGCACTAACAACCGCGTAAAAACTCTCATTAGCCCTTATTTGTTCTTTATTTTGACATTCTAAAGAGTTTGGTTATTTGTTTTATTCATTTTTTTTAATTTTTTATTTTTATTCTTCAAAAAGCCTCTTTGTTTTACTATAATTGCGAAAAACGCTGTTGATACATTTATTATTAATTTTTTAAACGCCGCATCTTAATTTAAATATCGATTAAAATTTGTCATTGTAACGAGTATCAATTAAGTGACAATAATAATAATAATAATTTTGAGATCTATATTTTACACATCTTTTTAGTTATTAACTTTATAATATTCTGGAACTTTGTTCTTATTTATAGTCTCTGCGATTTACAAATTTATTGCCCCGGAAAAATCCTATATATGTAATTCTATATAATTTTACATACTTAATTATATGTAATTATATATAAAACGTTTTTCCCGGATGATTAATTCTTCCAACGTCTTTCCCGAAAATTTCAATAAAAATGAAATTGCTCGGCTTATGATAGACAATTTTACGCATAATTTGTTACCGATTTAAATAATATTTAAATATATTATATTTATGCTATGCAAATTTCATTCTTTTTTTACAGCACTGGATGAAAGAGTCGCCAGCGCTCATCAATGGATCGCGCATTATATTCGGATGGCAAACCGTTAGAACCGTCTTAAAAAAAACAATCATTCCGGATGAATCATATGACTGCATTCTTCAAGGAGTGTGTGGGACGTCGCGACCGTTGCCGCGCGAAAAAAGTGTATCCCAAATATGGGCGGAACGTTCGCGACTGGTTTCGCCAGGAATCCGACACTGTCGTCTTTTCACTCCGGGTGGGGTGCGCCTACGACAAAAGTGGCGCGATTTGCTACGATTTACTCCTTCCGTGGTCTTCGATCAATTTTACCTTGTATACAACGGGCTGCGCGAGTCGCGACTGATCCTTGTTTTCATACGTATAGCCTTTGTTATTGCGCACTTTGATCCGCTATCCGGATTTCCGCATGTATGAGATAAGATTATTGCGTTTTTTTAATTCTGTAAGATTAGATTATTGCCCTTAAAATAAAAGAGTATTCGATTAGTCCTTTTTTAAATTATAAATAAACTACGAGTTATTATAAACAAATAATAACAAGATCGAGTCAATAGACTAGAATTATAATAGAATTACGATAGAATTTAGTAGCAGAATGTGATGGTAGATTGACTACCGAAATCGAGTAGAATCTATTATTATTGGAGATATACAAATGAGTTGTTTTTTTTTATAAGATTTGAATTTTTTACAGCTGAATGTTGGATGACATTAAAGTGCGAAATTTTATGCTCATATTAATTGTGAAGCGATTGGACCAAGTAAAACAACTTTCGTATTTTTAGTTTAATACAAATTATAGCTTCTCATTTATGTTGCGTAAATATTCGTACTTAAAATAAAAAAGACAATAGTACAATTAAACGTTGAAGAGAGGAAAAAGTTGAAAATGCAGAAAGTTTAACTATAAAAAACAGATCAATATATAAGAACTCGATATGATGAGATGCGAAGCTTCCAAAAATCGCACACATTGACATCATATGTCTGTGATTGACATCTACATATATGTATAATACACGTATATACATATATGTATAATACACGTATATACATACAACATACCAACATACCTGTGATTGGATATAAAAACATAAGTGACGAGTCCAGGATACAAGCGTCCCGACCAATAAAATGTTTAGGTTGATCTCTGCAAGAGATAATGGGGTCTTAAATTGACTCACTGATCAAGACGGTTATACGTCGTCTTTATTCATTTATGTAAATTTACATGCATAAAAATCTTTATGCTTCCCATTATTTTGCGTTATAAATTGTGTATATATATATATATAGTATCGATCCCAAGCAATGCAAATATTTTCAAAATACGTTTAACAGATATAAACTATAAAATAAACGTTTAAAATTTAATACGTTTATTAAACTATTTAATAAATGTTAAAAAAGCGTATTATTCAATCTTGAAAAATTGAAACATATAGATTCTAGTGACCTTAGGACTCTTTTCTAATTTTTAAATAGTGTAATTATTCGGAATAATTTTACAATTTTATTTTTTATTTATATAGGCTAATTATCGTACTATATTTATGTTGAGTTCAAGTATTGTAATTTCATATATGATTGAAAATTGTAAAATTAAAATAACAAAAAACTATTATATAGTGAGTCTTAAGGATTTGTATGTTTTTTTAGTCTCACAAAAAATATATTTTTCTATTACGAGTTAACAAACGTGTATTTAACGTTAATAATAATTTAATATTTTTACACAAACATAAAAACGTCTCAATTAACGTTTTTTAAATGTAGATTTTAAACGTCTACTTAGGATATTAATTATATTTCAATTTATTACGCGTGTATATTTAATATATTTATTAACTGTATCATATATATATAAAATACATATTATGTAATAATACAAATGTATCACGATAATTTTTTTAATGCCTTAACTTGAATTTAAACGCTTATCGGAGCGTATATAAACAATATCTTCTGATATATATGCACTTCTGCACATATTATTATGCACAGAATATGTACATAATAATTCAGCAAAAAAAATTTCCATGCATAAATATGTATAAATATTTATAAACATACGTAAATATTCATAAACATATACTCATATTACATATAATCATATTATATATAAAATATATCCATACATGTTCATACATTCCTTTTTCTTTCGTAAAATTAGTTTTTAGTGTTATAGAAATAATAATAACAATGTGAAAACATAAAAAATTATTAAAGGGATAATTCTCACATTGTTCGTTAAAAAAAGAAACAAGTTTAGAAAAATGTAAAAAAAAATTGCTCGTATACAATTATGCATAATTTTATATATAATTATACATATAAGTAATTTTTTTATATTTCTTCAAACTTGATTTTCTTCTAAAATAAATCATGTGAAAATTACCCGTTTAATTATTTTTAATGTTTTCACATTACTATGATTATTATTCCTATTACACTAAAAAGTAATTTTACAAAAGAAGGAGGGATGTATGAATACGTGTGGACATATTTCATATATGATTATACATGTTTATGAATATTTATGTATGTTTATACATATTTATACATATTCATGCATGAACAACTTTTTATCAGGAAAGCATTAATAACCTCGCGTGTTATACTATACTACTGTATGCATACTTCAATTATAGGGAAATAACGTTTTACTTGTAGTATGCCATTATCGTATTACTATTAGGGTCATGGCAGAAAAACTTAAACTGCAGTAAGACATATAAGCATCCAGACAGCACACAATATTTACAAAATATTTAGAAATATTTATAAGATTTATTTTAAATATTTTGTAAATATTTTTGTGGTTTTAGATTGCACAGATCATAAATATTTATTATAAATATTATGAAATACTTATTAGAATAGTTATAGTAAATGCTATAAAAATACTTAATGAGACATTATAATCCAAATAAAAAATACTTAGAAATATTTATCTATATTTATCATAAATATTGCATAAAATATTTAGTCTATATTTTAATAATATTTCGAATAAAGAGCTTTATATAAAATATGTATAAAATATCTATATAACATTAAAAAAAATGAATATTAATAAATATTTATCATAAATATTCTGTGCTGTCTGGGCAATTCCGCGGTGGAAAAAAATTTGTCAGAATTTGTCCGAAAAATTTAAAAAATAACAAATTCTGACAAAGACAGTATTGCCGAAATTTGACAGAAAGTATCTCATTTTATCTGTAACTGTCTGAATTTATACATTTCATATAGTAATTATGAATTACTTTTTTCAAAAGTAATTTCTCCACTCCTGGCATTATCGTTACTGAAAAAATGTAAAATCATTATATACCAAGTCATTATATTCATTATTATAAAAAGTGATGACGTTACAATTAAGTAACTTTCCAATATTTATTTCTGTTCAATTGTAACGCGGTAAAATATCTTTTCTATCGGTCAATGGGTAATTGTTGCCTAATTGACATCGCTAATGCAGCTAATATGACATCACCATGAATAAGAATCAGGAGGTATCAAAGTGTCCGCAAGAACGATATATCGTCCTATTAAGTATAAAGCCTCTTCGCGCCGTTTCCCACCCGCACTGTAATGCGCGAGTCTCACGCTTTCGACTCTCGTCTCCGCATGTCGCCTCGTTCGCCGCCAATGGCGATTCGCGCGCGCCCACCGGCGTGAAGTTGCGCGCGATCGCCCGGATCGCCGCCGAGCACCGCCGAGCGAGTGTTGATGTGCCGCGCGCGCACGCAAGTTCACGCGAGTCAATCCAACTCGATCCGCTCGATCGCGGATCGCAGGCGTGTTCGCGTTCACGTATAGGACGGGTACGGCGTACGGCGTGAGAATTACACGTGTCTGTTTGCCGATGGTGGTCGAACGAGACTGAGGCAGAGAGTATCGCGGAAGGATGGCGACATCAATGCAGGAGGGCGATTTCAAGGCGACCACCGTCGCCAACACCGTCGCCGATCATGCCGAGGAGTACAGACTCCGCACCGGGACCGACAGCTTCCCGAGCATCAACGAGAGGCCGGTCGACGACATCTCCCTCGAGTTCTTCTATAAACCGCACACGATCACCCTGCTACTCATCTCCATTGGCGCCGTTATATACTCTGCGTTCACCAGGTAGACAAAGCTCACTTTGACTCGTGGCCCTTTGATCCTTTGGAATTCTCGGATTATATCTCACCTTAATTTCTTTTGACTCTTTCCTCTTGTTTTCCTTGGAGATATAAAATGTATTTCAGTTAAAAAACGTGAGCAAGTGGCTGAAGAAATTTCGTGTTCGAATGTTAATTAGATTTATATCCGGTATGTGAAAATCAATATCTAATTTTGATAAGATAATCGCCTGAAATACCTTGACAATGACTGAATATTGTGCTCGAATGATACAACTCGTGTGTTACCATATACATGAGAATTTTAATTTTTTATGTGCAATAAAAGGCCGGTAAAAAAGGTTTCATTATAATTTTTTCTCCAGGGATACGTGTGCAAGTAATTCTGTATATTACAGTATGATTTGAATTTGTCCTTGGCTTGTCTATTATAAGCCATTCATGATTATGCTTCCATTTAGCTTAACTGTATTATGTATTATATAATTCATTGCACTATATTTCTGCTCAATATTTTTTCTTGTTTAGACAGTAGTTATGATTGTTATTAGAGATTTTTTTTCAATTGAGTTTAATTTAGCTTGTATTATTAATTATAATATTTTATATAGCAGATATAGAAAAGTATATATAGTTGTTACGTGTTTATTATGACTGATAAATGCAAATAAATTTTGGAACTTGGATTACTCTGATGTCAGTCACTATTTATAATCCAGTCAGCAAGAAAATTTATGTAAATGAAATTCAAAGGTCACAAAATTTTATCGTATCATTGGAATACGCAGAATATTGTTACATCTGAAAACATTTCTTTCAGGAATACCACCAATGTGGAGGACAACATGTGGGCGGGTATATTGTGCGTCATTTTCTTCTTCCTTATCATATCTGTCCTGACATTCCCCAACGGTCCATTTACTAGACCTCATCCTGTGGTATGGCGGATAGTATTCGGCTGCAGCGTACTCTATTTGATGGGTCTGCTGTTCTTGTTATTCCAAAACTATGAGACAGTCAGGAGGATCCTGGTATGGGTGGATCCAGGTTTAGCTTCCTTCCACATCGATATGGACAAGGAGTATGGTGTCAACTGCTCGGATGTCACAGTGGAAAGGATCTGGAATCACCTGGACGTGTTTGCACTGGCACACTTTCTTGGCTGGGCCTTCAAGGCCATCTTAATTCGTCATCTTGGTATCCTTTGGGCCATCAGCGTCATGTGGGAGGTGACAGAGATTGCCTTTGCTCATTTATTGCCAAACTTTATCGAATGCTGGTGGGACGCCTTGATTCTCGACGTTATAGTGTGCAATGGATTAGGTATCTGGGTTGGCCTAAAAATTTGCTCCATATTGGAGATGAGGGAATACAAGTAAGAATTCAATTTAAATCTTGAGGTCCACGTCTTTCAAATTTTCATTATTTATTATAATAAAGAATTTATTTTGCTGCACAAAGTATATTCTTTCTATTCAGAATTATTTTTTTTATAGGAAAATTTTATCTTTATTTCATAGAGAAAGAAGTTTTTCTTTTTTTCTCAATGAAGAGTATTGAATAGTACTTAATCTTTTAACTTAAATACTTTCTTAAATACAGGTGGGTCAGTATTCGTGACATTGAGAGCACCACTGGGAAGCTGAAGAGAGCAATGTTGCAGTTTACTCCTGGCAGTTGGACATCTGTTAGATGGCTGGATCCAACTTGCACACATATGCGATTGGTCGCTTTATGCCAGTTGGTGATATTCTGGCAAGTTTCCGAGTTGAATACGTTCTTCTTGAAGCACGTCTACGAGTTTCCTCCATCTCATCCATTTGTTGTGGCCAGATTAGTATTGGTCGGCGTTATAGTCGCACCATCCGTTAGGTAAGCGGGAAGGGCACAAATTTTAACAATATAAATAAGATTAGTTTTTCAAATTGTAAGTATTTTAAAATTTTACATTTGTATCATTATATACATGAAAATTGAAATTTTAGAATTGTAATATTTCAAGGTGTAATCTTATTAAGTATTATATATGGTTTGTGAATTAAATTATATTAATATACAAATGGGTATATAATTGGTACTTTAAATTTTCCAATCTAATATTATCGTACATATTAACAAATTGATCTTATAAATTAAAAAAAATTTGAATATGCGGTTGAGATAATATTTGTTGTTATAAATGCGTTATAATTACAGGCAGTATTATATGTACGTAACTGATCCGACGTGTAGTCGAGTGGGAACTCAGTGTTGGGTCTATGGGGCAATTATGGTGACAGAAGCTTTACTGTGTATACGCCATGGTGCAGCCCTGTTTGAACGTACTCAAGCTCTCAATATCCTCCTTTGGCTGCTTTGCCAGTCTCTAGTCTCCGTTCTCTGCGTCTATGGCTGTGTTTTGTGGCATCAGTACTTTGAGGTAGATACAAACACGTTTAGATTTTAATGTCTGTAAACTTCCAGAAAGAGGATTTAGGAAAAATATTGCTACAGTATTTTCACTCAGAGAAAAAATTTAAAACGGAAGTATCGTGCATAAAGAATTCTGCAATTATATGGAAAATTAGGTTCCAATAAAATGTCTTAATTTTCACATTTAATGTAATTGTAATGTGATAAACATAAGATCTCATAAACACAAGGCTTAATAATGAACAGTTTTGAACTACGGTACATCAAAGGTATAAAACTTCTGTTCAACTGCTCGCGGAGCATCTTTGATACCATAGCTAAAAAATTATTCATTCTTAAGTCTTGTGTTTAGACATCTTTTGTTCATCACATTGTAAGTTACATTATATGTGAAAGCTAATTTACTTCACCAGGATAATAGCAATAATTTTTTATATAATTAGTATGAGATCCTTCTTTTTTTTGGGGGGCAAACTTACACAGCGATTTTAAATCACTCAAATAAGTATCGTTCGTCAATAGCTAATTAATTTTGATAACTAACTCTTGTTGCTCCTTTTAAATGCATGATGCTGATCTCTGCAGACGGGAAAGAAAGCCACTATAAGGCGGTCAGTCTCCCATCTAAGCAGGTTTGACACGGATATAAGCGGTATGTTGATTGATTACATCATACAATGTGTAATCGCTTGATAGTTTGCAACAATCTGAGTTTGCGACACTTGATTAATCGTTCATTCCTACTGCCATTCTTGTCACTGTTACTATCAATCATCCTGAAATTTATTCATGTAATATCCTAACTCGAATATTTTATTTTTATTGACAACTTAAAATAATGAAAATATGATTAATTATTTGGATAAAATCACAGGATTATTTTTTATGAGGACTGGATGCTTTTATTTTAAACTTGACTTTTAGAATTTCAAATCTTTGAATATTAGATTCCTGAGTCTCAGATTCTCGCATTTTAAAAAACGTAGACTTTTTAAGTCATAAAATACTGTAATTTATGTAATTAAAATTTCTAAAACTCGATCTTATTTTAAATTCTTGGATCTTTTCTTTAAATTCTAAAATATATAATAAATATATAATAAAGCATTTAAAAAATTGTTATTATTCAGATTAGAGAAATCAGTCTTCATTAAGTAATTCTGTGTTTTTAATTATATTTCTTTTTTCAATATTTTTATATAATTTTTTTTTTCTATATCTATTATACTTCCCAAATTGAGATTTTTAAAAAGAATTCTTAATCAAATGCCACGACTCAGTCGACATTGGAGCGGTAATTTTTATGTGTGATTTACAAATGTGTTTATTTCAGGGAATATGGCTCGTCGTACGAAATCCGTGGAGGCATTGGATAAGAAGAAACTGTGAAAGAAAGAGTGAAAAGAATCGCTTGATGGTGAACTGAGGACACTAATTACACTTTCTAGTCGAATAGGACAATCGCGCGCAAGAGATAGAATGAATGATTAATGCGTCTGATTCTTTGTGACGTGATATGAGTGGTCTCCAAAGTGTTACTTTTGTTCCTCAGAATGAATGAAGATTATTGTTATTATTGATCCATGGACGCTCCAATTTAGCGTTCGATCAAATTCAATGTGAACATCGCGTAAAAACTGTTTATTGATTCATATTCATTCAGCGATTACGTTGTTCGCTTACTTTTTTTCTCTCCAACGTTAATTATAACGTTACCTCGCAAACGATGTGCTTGCAGCAACGTGTTCATCGAAGCATTGCTTTTAAACTTAAGACACACGTTTTTATTGTACGTAAATGAGAATCTCTTTTATGTATTGAAGGATACAGAAGCAAAGCACATGTTCTCCAACATCTTTTTAAAATTTTCAAATTATAGAGACAGGTTTACGCATCAACCGCATAAAACTGATGCTTCTAATTCGATTTCATAACTTAATCATCGCATTTAAAAATATTCATACGCGAATCTCGCAGGGTGGATGAATCAGAGTTTTGTTTCTGTGCCCATCGATTAGCACGTTTCTCGACTAATGCCAATTGACTCATTTGCTACAGCGTAATGTCCGTGGGTGCCATTTTGTTCCGCGAACGATTCTCACTCCGGAATCATCGAGGTCTCTTTAATCTCTATGTATGGGAACACGTTGCAAACGTCGTTGGGTGCAATCTGCGAGCCGAGCGGGCAATTCCACGCCTTGGCAAGCAACTTGTCGTTTGATGCGGAGACGAACACGCGGATCCGGCTAGGCAGGTTCTCGCTCTCGTGCAGGGAGACATAGGATGATGTGAGTGACGTCTTCGTGCAATACATCTGCAACGATAGAGATACAAAAGCATTAATAAGTGTTAATTAGCTGGGTCGACTCGATGACGGTCAAAGTTTGGAGGGAACAGACTCAACTGCGATCCTCGCGAATCTTTGGATTTTATTATTGAATTGCCATTCAACATTTCTAAAGACCCGAGGACCACAGGATTCTCCAGAAGAAATTCACGAGAGGGATCCCCATAAAATAAAACTGCTGTTAATGTAAAACGAACTGTGAGAACAGTACCTGAGCGTAGGCGAGGTAGAATAATTGGTCGATGCGGAGTTGTATCCATGGTAGTCTCTTCGCATTCGACATCGTAAGAGCCAAAGTATCATAGGCTAGTCTGAGTCCTATAATTTCAGACAACCGCTCGTTCAAGGTCAACCGCGGAATCTAGAATATTTACAAATGTCGACATTTTGCGTCTGCGAACGATTCAATAAATTAAGCATTACGCAAAAAAGTGCACTTATTGTGTTAAATTTTACTACATAGTGTTTTTAATAATCCCTTCTCCAATTTTTATTTATTGTACCTTATTCTCTCAAACTTTTACAGTGAATCTCACTCTTGAAGAAGTGAGATTGAAAATCGAGCCACTCTTTCAAGACTGTTTAGAGTGAGATTCTACTCCAAAGATTTTAGAGAGTACAAATAGGAAAATTGCATTATAGAATTCATCTTTAGTTTGACATTCCTCAATGATTTTTCGATCCTTTACTACACACGAACAGCCGTCCATTCCTCAGATTAATTTTCATCACTTTTATAAGTAATAACAATTTTTAAGAGATTCTTACACACATTTTAACATTTTTAGAAAATATTTATAAAGTTGTGTGTATTAAAAGAAATTGTGTATAGATATTATAACTAATTATTTGGTGCTCCTAGTATTTCAAAGAAGAGAAATGCACCCTGTCATGTGTATTAAGGATTGAACAACTCAACTTACTCTAAAGGACACGATTTGATCAGTGAAGGGTAATGTCATGTCTATAGGTTCTTGGTACAGATTCTCCTTTTGACAGTTGATATAATCATCGAAGTGAGTGTTTGTAAACTCGTTTTCAAACATCAGAGAATCTTGAGCATTCCTGATTTGATTCCAATAGTGTATACCTGTTACAAAGAAAATGATTGTAAAAATTCAAGTAATCAAAGAATCAAAAATAGAAAAAATGGTCCTTATATAATTTATATATAAATTTAGTCAACTAAAATCAATATTACGTGCAATAATCTTCTATTTTTAAAAATTATAACATAAACCGTACATGAGGTCTAAGAATACTACAAAAAAAAGTTTACGAAGAATATTAACAGTTATTAATGACTTATGAGATTTTTACGTATTTATATAATTACATTATTACAGTCATTTACCATTTGTGTCGAAATGATGGGCAATCTGATGAGCTATTAAATTCCCAAGGGTTGCTAGCAGAAAATAGGATAATTCATCACCGTTCATTAAGTCGCTCATTAAAGCCCAATCGATAATACCGTAAGGAATCACGATGAGATTTAGGGCGTAAATCACTTGGGCTTTCGATTGGAATGGCGTAGCATAGTATGTCCAACTGTAACGTAATTTACAAATTATAAAAACTTAAAATCCAAGAGATCTCCCAAATCAAAAAATTTAAGAAATTGAAAATGAAAGTTTTCGAAATTAAATAATATAAAAAATTTGAACTAGAGACATATGAGTCTATACATAAATAAAATAATCTAACAAAAGAAATATAAATTTACACAGTTAAACATCTAGGATTTTATGAATTTATTTAAATTGAATTAATTTATTGATTATGAATTAATTATTTGTATTTTATTTACATTTGCTTTGGACCACCAACTTCTCTTCTTAATTCGGTGTACATTAGAATTCTGTATCTTTTTAGTAGCATCATCGAGTTGTTAAAGTAATTGTCGTTTAGAATTACCTGAAAGTTGATTGTCAATTAGAACGTAATTAAAACTAATTAAGATATACAGAATGATTTTTAATTAAATGCCAACATAAAAAATGAATTAACATTCGAAATAAAAAAATACGTTATATAAATCTGTTAAAATGTTTAAAAAATGCCTTCATATAATGATATTTGTTTTTATTGTAAATTTTCTCTCTCTCTAGATGTTCTGTTTTTAATAATATCAATAATTATTTTAATAAAGTAATAGTGAAGAAGAATCAATGTATGACACATATATATTTTTTTACCTCTGATACGTTATATTCATTATATAGCGAGTTTCTGTTCTTGAAATAGGAAACAACAGGTAATGCGAGTTTCAGATCATTGATCTTGTTTAGCAATTCTTTTCGTCCTTCCTCTTTTGCCCATTGTGCTTCTTGCATTTTGTCTGACAACGTTTGCTTCAAGTTGTTGAATGTCTTTTTTATCTATTGAGTAAAACAATAGTCAAAAAATGAAAAACAAGTATAAATTCGAAAAATTGAGCACTTATTTATATTTATTTATATTTTATTTACATTTAAATTCACTTACTATTACATTCATTTGCGTTATTTCGTAATCAGTAAAGGATGATACGTATAAACTGGACGCTTCCAACCGTAGAAGGTAGGTAGCCACATGCAGACAATAATCCTTTACATTATCGTGCTTTGGCAAGACCAGCTGCAAAGAATTTCATTTCATTATATCAATAAAAATAAAGAGAATGATAATTTTTATTAATACAAAATATGAAACTATTAATAAACAATTCCATCATTTGTTAAACTATTTGTAATATAATATTTATATTTGTATACTTTTACTTTATATTTTTTACATTTTATTTAAATTTATATATGAGTATTTTTATTTTATTATATTTAAATATGATCTTAACATGTAATAGTTACCTCGTGATAAAGCTTATTCGCATATAATGCCATTATCGCGTTGTTAAGATTCATAGAATTTTTTTCAGCATATTTTTCTAATTTGCGTAAACCTTTAGTTAATGCGGCATGGAAATACACTTGAATAATTTCATTACTTTCCACGTGTACTCCTGTTAACAAATGAATTAATTGCGCCCAATTTACCTGCGAGAGAAAATTGTAGTAAAGGATAAGAGATTGCTAAAAATATAATAAACTTTAATCTAAGAGATTAGAATTAGATACTTAATTTCACATTTTTTTGTTTTTATTTTTCAGAGAAATTAAAATTCTTATGCGTTTTTACTTACGAATGTGCTACTACTCTGTAAATCCTCTAAACTGACTTTACTGTAATCGTTCATCAAGTACGCCTCTCGTATTTCACTCTTAGATGGAAAGTTCTGTAGAGTTAATAGTTTTATCGATAAATAATATTATTAATGTTACAAAAATTCTATGATATATATTTAATTACCGAAAAATATTCTTGCATTACAACAGAATCAATCACATGAACAGTTTTTTCTATGTTTTCCGATTGTATACTCCATTCTAAATCGCTATCATTTAAGCCCTTAAAAACATTAAGCTCTTTCAGCGTTTTCCTAATGGATCTCATAAATTCGCTTGTATCATTCTATAAAAAAAGAATAATTATTCACTTAACTCTTCTGTATGCATTTCTTATATTAATCCATTTTATTAACTTTTTAATTTACTTATACTTTATAATTATCTACTTGTTTTTCTATATGAATCTCAAAGAAACTTACCAAAAAAGAGCATTGATTGAATTAAAAAGATTGAGAAAGGATATTTTATAAAAAAAAAGAGCTTTATAAAAACAAAAGCAAAATTGCTTTTTCTTCCTTCAGTACTAATAAAATCCTTTAATTTTCTCGTTAAACAATTTGCAATAATTTAATGTTTTGTACCTTGCATTTTTCATAATTATGATACAAAATTTCGAGATCCACGTACTGTCCTTCCGTTTCGAACGTGTCTTCGGAGCAGGGATCCTCCACATACTCCACTTTGAAAGGACTTTCATACGTCGTAGGACCTATTTTCAATGTGAAATTGTTTCGACGATATTCATCCAATTCTGGCACAACATCAAATAAAAGAGCGCTGCAAAATAATTCTAATTTATAATAATATGTTAATGAATCTTCCTGAAAACTTACCTATGATGTAACATTAATTGGGCGAATAAATTGGTGAAACCCATGTAATTATCAGACCACGTATCAGATATATAGAACTTTCCTATTTTTCTTAACGCGTCATTTGCTGTAACAAAATTACATCTATCTACATCTGACAATTAATTATTCTTGTATTACAAGATTATATATGTAATTAAGACTTAATTTTATTATATTAAATTTACTTCATATAAATCTTTATTCAGTTATTGACTGTCCATTAAATACTTAATAGCATCAATTTACCCATTGCAATTCTTTCATTGAAGTTCATATTTCCTTCATATTGCACGCAACTGTCGTAGTACGTTGCAAAAGTTGAACGCACGTTCTCGTGCTTCTCTTTTAACATTTGATCTAAAATGATTTAAAACAGAGTAAGAAATGTATAAATATTCAATAACTACTTTCAATAGCTAGTCAATCTTTTCTTCTAAAAGGAAATTAATGTTCCCTGGATTCCTGGCGTAATTTATATATATTTATATAACAAAAAGTTATTCCAGCTAAAAATAATTAATAATTACTAATTTAATAATTGATTCTTATAATTATGCAATAATCTTTTTAAGACTTATTAATAATTATACGTCATTAAGTAATTAATAAATTTACTGGCGATTCGTTGGTAATTTCTAGATCTCCGAATTAGATCTCCGTCTATCAGCTGCGGATTTGCTTCAAAACTACCGCAAGCGTACTCATAGAAATCGTCGCAAGGATCGGCCGAATGATTCATGTAGGACAACATTCTGCTGGCAATCTGCTTGCAGAGTCCTGTCCCACAAATGCTTGTGTCTTCGTTAGAAAGCGTGGTCCATCCTGTGGTGATAAGATCCGTCTCATTGTAGCTTACTGGGATGGCTGTCCTAGTTGTGTGATTGTAAAAAATGGTAGTGGTTGTGTTAATATAATTGGACGTGGAAGATTCGTTGTATTTTTCCATTCCATCAGAAGTTAAATTAAATTTCTCGGTAGTGTAACTTTTTATACTAGTAATCGTTTCGTTCATCAGATCTTCAGCTTCCTACATGAAATTAAATATTATTATAAACATTAATATGACTTCCACAGATTTGAGAATATCTACACATCTATAAAAATCATATATTAAATATTAATTTTACAAATTTAAAAATATCTACATAAGAAATTAATATATTGAATATCAAAAGCAAATCAATTTCAATATTAAATTTTGGTATTAAAATTTAATTACACTTTTAACTTTTGTGGAAAACTTCTCATCCATCAGTGAAGTATAATTTATTGTAGAAGGTGAGTTCTCTCTCGTTTCATTCTCATTTGTGACTGCAGATTCTTCATAATTTAAATCTTTCGTTGTAGAATTTCCAGTATCTTCATTTTCTTGAGAATCTGATCGAGTTAAAATGTTACTCGTTGTTACTTCAAATTGCAAAGTCTCAGAATAATTGTTTTTAATGGAAGAATATTTAGCACTTGTACTTTCTTCAAGATCAGTTGGAAGACTCGGCGTTGTTGAAAATGTAATATTATCAATACCAACTCTCAATCTCTCATATTTTTTAGAATTCTCAGAAACATTCTCTTCGGTATCGTTTGACTGTGTCAGCAATGTTGAAGTTATAACGTTATTAGTCACAATGTCAACTTCTGATTTATCCGAACTGTAATATTCGTCAATAGAATCACTTATAAATTCCTTAGTAGTTGATGACATAATATTCTTTATAATATCAACAATTGAAGTATATTTCGTAGTGACGCCAATTGATCCACTTGATGATATTGAAGTTGCATTATTGATGACATTATCAGTTGTAATATCATATGGCAACGTAGTCAAGCCAATGCTTTCTTCCGTAGTTTCTACATTTTCTAAGATTTCGTTCGAAATATAGTCTTCAATACTTTTTTGAGATACAGGAGTAGACAATGTTATTTCATCGATACTCGTCGTATTTTCAAAGTAACGCTCAAAATGATGAGATCCTTTAACATTCTTCTTCGAATAGTCTTCAGTAATGACATTGATTTCTTCTGTTGGTCTATTTTCTGCAGTGGATGTATTCACTGGGATAATCCAAGTTCTTGCTAAAATTGTCTCTTCTGTTGGAGTTTTTTGAGTTGTTGATGTTGTTGTTGACGTTGTTAATGAAACTGTCATGATTGTTGTTTCTTTTGTGCGTTCTTGAGGATAATGCTGTTTAAAATACCCATAATAAAATTATTCATTCAAAATTAAATAAAAATTTTTTGTAAAAAAAAAGTGCGCCAATATAATTGAAACAAACATGAATAAAGAACATGATAAGAAAAAATTGTATAAAGTTTGTAACGACTTCTGTGAAATTTCTTTAGACTTGTAAATAAATTCATTTTATTTTTTTATACCATTTTCTTATAGATCTACATTTGTCTAAAGATATTCTATTCAATATCATACCTGTGAGTCATGTTTAATATATGGCTCCCTGTATTCTCTTTGATTCTGCACTTTCCAGGGTTTGCAAGCGAGGATAAGGATAAGGCACATAAAGAAGAAAATGAGCAGGGCGATGAGACAGCTTCTATACGACTGATCTCGTTGGGCAGCCTTGCCCTGCTCCCGATTGTTAATCTGATATGTTTTACGAAACGGCATGGTTCCTTCAACTCGGCTAACTAGCAACTATATTAATTTGAACGTGCAACTAAAAAAAGTCTCGATTCTTATATTGAAGCATATGCGACGTACTCTTGTCCTAATCTTTCAAAGATTGCGGTTTTGCTAACCGCTTCCTTCCAAATATCACAAGAATTATCACAAGATAATAACTTACACAACAAAGTGGATCGATTCCGAGCTGGTAAATTTAACCTTTTATTATGCAATATAAAAAAAATTTACTTAAATAATATGTAAATATTAATTTGCATTTAAGAAACTGATAAATTAATTTGGATTTGATGAGATTATTAGTTTAAATGTTGTAGAGAGAGTTGAAGGAACGCTAATTGATCAAGAATCAAACTTAAAGGAATTTTCAAGGACAGTTATACTTCGGCTATCTCATAAAATTGAATACAAACTTTGACTATTTCATAAAATTGATATTTTCTTAAAAGTTATTTTACACCTTCGCATTTGTGACTTCTCGTCTAGATTTATTATTTTATAACAAATAAATTAAAAAGATGTCGCGCTGTCAAACGTTTCGTTACAGTTCTAGTATCATATGTATGACTTTGTCGTAAAAAAATTTAACGAACGAAAGTGTTCGAAAAGATACTTGGAGTATCAGTTATAACTATAGCTGTGCCTATACGACAAGTTTCTCATAGAAGAATCGAAATCAGCGACACCGAACATCTTCGGTGTGCGCGTAAATGTATATAAGTTACTTATGTCGATAGAGCATTATAATACAATTATCACAGATATGTAAACTACAAAATACCGTACGCGCGAATATAAAATGCAACTTGCGCCTTCGCCGATGATCCCATTGCACATACTACGACGATTCGTCTACGTTCTAATTGATGTACAATTTAAATACGAATCAAAAAAATATATATGCGTGTATGTATATATATATATATATATATATGTATATTGCAAAATTTTACTCGCTCGCGTGGGACGAGTAGAGTTCCATGTTGCGTTTGAAATCATTCTCGAAGTCCGTAACTGGTGAGTCGGATCGCTCGTTTAATTCACCGCCAGTTGATTCTGTTTTCAAGACGGGAGGAATATTTTCCATTTTCGTGTTGACTCCCTCGTCGATATCACCAGATATGAATGTTTCGGAGGCAACCTACAATTGAGAGGGATGTGATATGATTAAAAGAAACAGAGAAAAAAAAGACATAAGATTTAAGGAAAAAAATTAAACGAAATAATATTAACAACCTTTAAATAAGAAAAGTATAAAGCAGGAATAGGAGATTAAAATGTAATTAAAAAAAAATGAAAACAAAAAGAGCGGTCTAATTATAAGATATAAATTACCTTTCTTTCCATCTCATCAGTCTTAAGCTTTTCTAATTTCTCTTTGTCGGCAAGCGGGATTGCAGTCTTTGATAATGTTTGTCTCTTTGGGGTAGGTTTCCTCGGCTTAAATGATCCGGACGCTTTTTTCGGTAGTTGAGAGTTCGTGTGCTTCTTGGTCTCATTCGATTGTTCGCAATTATGAGTAACCAATTGCTCCTTAGTCTTAAAGGCCTGCGTAATGTTAATAGTCAGCTGTAGAAGAATTATCTGATTGCAGTTTTTGTGTTTACGTGAATTGAGAAGTAGGACTCACATGGGAGCAGATGTCACATTTAAGGCTGTGCTTATTCATCTCGTGATGTTTGAGAGCTTGCGCTCGGTGGAAGTTGCGATTGCAGTGGCTGCAACTGAACCGTTTGACGTTGCTGTGCGTCAGCAGATGCCGTTTGAGCTTGTCTGGCCGCGAAAATTCACTCATGCAGCCCAAGTAATTACGAAACGGGCACTTAAGTCTCTTCGTCAAATCATGGATCAGCATATGCCGGCCCAGTCGATCTTTCCGCTTGAATCTGGCTGGGCAATGCTGTGATTTGAAATATAAAGTACAAACATCAATAAACAATATGCAACTATATTTCAGTTTATTAAGTGCCAGTATAGTAAAGTTTATAATTTCATTTTCAGTGTTGGTCCCTCCATCCGTTCGTTCGTTTTCCCATCTGTAAGATTTTTCAGAAATAGCTTAACTTTTTCAAATTCTGTTTCCGGTAATAAATATTCAAGGACTTAGTACAAAGAGTGAAGGTAAAGTGTGAGTCAATTGGTCATAAAGGAGTCAAAGATCAATTTTTTTCTTAATGTTTACAGATTTTTTGCTGCACTACTTGGTTATATCCATTGCAAAGAATTTATTTTTATATGTTATTAAAAAAAATATCTATATCTATAAATGATAATTATAATATTAATCCAATCTATTTGCTTAATTATGGAAATTGCCTAGCATTATATATATATAAATGTAGTTTACTTCCACAAAACATATCCTTTTTTAGTATACATTGAATATCATTAATGCAAAATCCTAATTTTTTATATTCATTGCAATTATTCTTACTTACCGGACATGTAAAAGGCGTCTCTTCGCTGTGTATAAGCTTATGATTAGCCAGATACTGCTCGGTTTTAAAAGCTTTGCCACAATCTTCGCAGACAAATCTCGCCGATGCCGAGTGAGTTTTGAGGTGACGACGCAGAAATCTCTCGATGAGAAAGCTTTTGCCACAATGCAGGCATGCATAATTGTGTGTGGTGGTTTCCTTATGGTGCTGCAATGCCTCCAAATTTGAGAATGACGATTTACAAGTCGAGCAGCAGTAATACTTCTCCGTGGTTTTCTGCTTCTGGACGGAGTGGACGTACTGATGGCCACCAAGATCCGACAGAGTACTGAACACTTCGCCACACACGTGACATCGGTACTCCGAGCACTTGTGGCTGCGCGTGTGCTCGAGGAACTCCTCCAGATCTGAAAACATCATGCTACAGCTGCTCTGCACGCACTTGTACACTTTCAGTGCCAGATGCGAGACAATTAGATGGCCTTTTAGAGCTTTGTACGAATCAAACGTTTCTTTGCAGAATTGACAATGGTACGTGCGGTCGATACTTCCGTCCGGAGGCGCCTAAAAGTATTCAGAAGAATATCATTAAAACGATATATAAAAAAATAATAGATAAAAATAAACAATATAAATATTAATGAGTAAAATATTATATATAATTACAATTAAATTATGTTTAATATCTGTGCTTAAACTCTTAGTGTCTTAAAACTAATATAATATTTGAAATAACAATTTTTTCTTAGAGATGTTCTTATTCTTGCACAAGGAAACATTTTTATAAAAAAAATATTCATAAATTTTCTCTTCGTAAAAATTCGAAAAGAAAAATAAATCTTAGTAATTAGTTAATTAAAAATTTTATACCTCTGGTGGTAAGGAGTGAATGGCGGTGCCAGGCCATACTTTGTGCGAGGACATATGCTTCTTCACGTTTGATTTTTGCGCGAATGCACGACCACATACTACGCATTGATAAGGCTTTTCTCCAGTATGAGAACGTTCGTGCTGTTGCCAATAGAATTTTTTTGCAAACTGCTTGTTGCAATAACCGCACTTATACTGTAATGACGTAAATATGTGTATCTTAATATAAAAAATTCGCATTAATCTCTGACCTCTGTAATTTATTTAGTAATTTAAATAAATTCGCATTTTAGAAAAATTGTTTGAAAACAGATTTACATTATATTTGTTATTATAATTAAATTCTTACATTATATATATATATATATAATATATATATAAACTTTAATTAAATTGAATTAAATTTTATAGTTAAATAATATGAAAACATTTATTACAATTTAATTTAAAATTATAGAACCAAGTTTTATAAATTTTACTTTCTGTTTTGGAAAAAAACAGAAGGTAAAATATCAATATAATGATACCCTTAAGTTCAGCGTTCGATTGATGCCATTTTCTAATACACTGAGTGAATTATCCTGGAGGGATGTCTCGTTGTTCTCAAGAGAGGATTCGTTGTCCTCTAAAGGCGGCTCGTTGTCCGCCAAAGATGGCTCGTTGTCCGTCAACGAGGCGCTAGGATGTTCGGATTGACTTGAGGCGTCCTCCTGTGAACTGATGTCGTTTTGCAATATCGTCGGCATTTCGCTTGAATCTTCCCTCGTCGCCTCGATGGCAGCATTATCGAAAGTATCCAGGTTCTCTGTACTTAAAATAATTGGCACGCTGAACGTGGAGTCTGTCATGAAATAATTAGCAGCCTCCTGATCCACACTGTAACAATTCAGATCAGATTTAAAAAAAGATAACATACGTTAAAAAACAAGTTTTACAAAAGAAATAATCTATATATTCAAGGCGCGGCACGAAAATATTGAAATAAAATTTATCGAATTATAATTATAATTATCAATGACAAAATACCTAAATAGCATGTCTGCTTCTTCGAGAATAATAGGTTCTCCAAGCTGAAAGGTTTCCTGCGAATTGTACTGCGACTCATCTTGAACGACATCTTCCACATGCATTACCTGACTCTCATCGTTTGTTAAGAATTGAGTCAAGTCTACTGTTTGCTGCTGCGTTTTCTGGTGAGTTCTCTTGTGGAGTACGAACAGTTGGAGTGATGTAAACTGACTTTTACATTTGCCACATTGGAATATATCTTCCTCATCCTGATCAATCGCTGGTGAAGATATGTTAATATTATGTGATGAACGATATGTACAATATACAAGATATAATTATAGAAAATATTTACATATACATATATAATTATGTTATTTTTAGAATATTTGTATTCAGAAGAATTTGTCTCTCTTTTCAAAACAATTAGTTAGCAGATTAACAAAAGTTGGAATACATATTTTTCCATATCATGAAAAAAAGTCAGATATTTTTTTCAGAGAATATGTTTTTAGAAAAGATATAACATAATTAAATACATTTCAAATTTTCGCGTTGTTAATATTAAAAATTTTATCATTGAAATTTAAATTTGTAACTTAATTCAGTTTGAGTGTCAAATTATAATCTCTTAAATAACGAGAAATTTGAATTGGGTTTTTGGATTTA